ATCCAAGGGCAGAAAAAGACTCATTATCCATTTTGCTTTAAGTGTCAACTTGGTTTTAATTTATAACATTAAGGCTACTGATTTATTTAAGAGAGAATAAATTCTTCATTCAGAATTCGGATTTTAAACCTGATAAAATGTCAGAAAAGACAGTAAAGAAAATTGTTAATTTTTCCTTATACTTATAGTAAATGAAGTAATACAGTAAAAAAAAAAAAAAATTTTCCCCAAAATGTATTATGCTTAATATTTAACACTGTGAAAATTAGCATAATTCTTGATCATATTATTTTGTTTAGTGCACTGTACAACCCAGCCACAGGAGGGGAACACAAGCCAGTGGACTCCTGGTGCCATTCCCAAGCCTACATAAATGGAGTCTGGAAATCAAAGGCATGATGTTGAATGTTGTCAGTATGCATGACCCACAAGTTGGATATAAGTTAGAAAAAAAAGGAATTTTGAAGTAAGTTAGCTAATCAACAGAGTCTCCAATCGACATGTAGGTGAAGGGAACAGGAGTGATGAAGAAGGAATAGGCATTTTTATAAAATAATATTTTTCACATTGCTTTCATACAGTAGGTTATTCTCGACATAACTGTGCTTATGCTCTTTTATGAAATACACAGAAAACCAAGTAAAATGAATTGATCCATACCATGATATGTTGTTGGGTGTTGATTTATCCTTTAATGATTTCACTGAATTATGAAATAATTAAAATTATTTCAAACAACATGTTTTTGAAATTTTCTTGTTTACTTTTAGTGAGTATGGTGCTTCCCACATCCCTGAAAATCAGAAATACAAACTTATGATTTAAAAATATGTAACAGAATTAGAATCATTAAAACATTAGAGCATGTGTCATGATGTAACTTTCTGACTGGTAAAACCCAATTATAAACCCTGAAAAGTAGAATCACAGGGGATAAAAAAGGTTTTAAAACATGAATTTGCCACTATTATCATGATTTTAAAAATCTAATTTTTAAACAATTTAGCTAAAATATAGGGAATCAACAACCTGTCAGCCTTTTGTCCTCATTTTATCTCCTCATAATGCTCATATGTGATGACCAGGTGAAATAAGGACTAGCTTGCCTGGCCAGGAGAGCTCCCATTCACAGCACAGCAAGCACCATCCATTTCCAAGTGACAGATCATTACAGCTCTGATGGTCGACAGATGGTGATGAATTGGCACTGATACCGGAGCTGGACAATTTTAGAGGCAGTCAGTTGCGCAAACTGCTTTATCACACTTTCTCCATGATGTTGCCATCCAGTGGGTGCCAAATGATGTCGGAAACACCACAAACCTCCTCCCACTCTCCAAGCTCCCGAGAGAGTAATACTGAAGGGATCATCCTTGAGCTTGTTATTTGAAGCACAAACAGATGTTTGATTGGATAGAAACAGTCACAATTCACTAAAGACGCTGAATAACATCCACCATATGGCAGCCTAATAACATCTAACAAATTGCATGCCACATTGATAATACAAACACACAACAACACCTGACCTCATCCCGCTGAGTAATGCAAAGAAACAGAAGCTCTAATGATCTCATGTAGTTCACCAGTTAAAAGGAATAAGTAAGACGGTGAGGAAGCCATTTATTTATGTATTAACCAATGCTGTCATCTAGTGGTCTAAATCTAAAGGCTTGAGTATTCCTTAACTTCTATTTATGTTTTTTTTTTTCTGTGTAGAAGGAAAAACCTCAGATTAACTATCCTGCATCCATTAATGTATTTATATAAGTGTCATTTAGGATTTCTTTGAGACTTTTATTGCCGCTCAGTTTTCATATATATTGTTTGTAAATACATGGTCTTTTTAGAACAATAGTGATGATGTCACGGTGACACATCATATCTCATTTCTTCTACTGGACTATACAGATTGGATTACTACTAGATCAGCGGTCCCCAACCTTTTTTGCGCCACGGACCGGTTTATGCCCGTCAATATTTTCATGGACCGTCCTTTAAGGTGTCGCGGATAAATACAACAAAATAAAACTAGTACCGGTACCGAAAAAAAGAAAATTTATTCATAACACAGGTGAAAAGACCAAGGAAAACCGAGTAAACGATAAAAACGATAACAAAATAACGCTGAAAACCGATTAAAAACCCTGAAAACTATACATTTCACACCTGAACCTCAACTCTCGCGGCCCGGTACCAAACAACTCACGGACCGTTACCGGTCCGGGGGTTGGGGACGGCTGTACTAGATTATATGCAATACATTGATTATGGAATTTGTTGTAGAACATATTTTAACACACAGACACATGCAATATGAACCTGCTGGCTCAGTGATTAATCAGTGACTTGACCTAACCACACAATGGTTACTCTGCATTCACACTACAATTTTAGGCTGAAACAGCTCATCCAGTAGCTTACACCTGCGTCATCAACCGAAACGGCAGAAACAGATCAGGTGACTGACTTGACACACCATTTTTTAAATGATATTATTTGGAAAAACACTTCTGTACTATCACTCACGCCAACTGAAAGCCAATCTCTCTCTAGTGCATGCAATGGGTGTCATTTACTATATGGGTCATTATCCATATGGGACAGCATTGCTGCAAAATTGCTGAGGGAGCCATCTTAAGCCAAAGTGGCAGTTAAACGTAATATCTGGTTGATGAGTATCAACACTAGGACTGAAGACAATGAAAAGACTTCATTAACTGTATTACCTATGTACTTACCAAAGTGACTTACTTAAACACTGATAAACAGCATGTGTGGACAGTCTTTTTATGGAGTATATGCGGTGTTGCTTTTGTTCCTTTTCGAGTGTAAAATGCATTTATAAGTCAAAGGACTGCTGTAAGTAGAATACAGTGGCAGTATATAGTAAGAGTTTCAGGATAAAAAAGCCCAACTGAGTACATTTTGAGTACATCTCTTCTTTTTTGTTAACTCCAAATACAATTCTTCAAACTAAAGTCATCAGAAGGCGTGTGCTTAGCAAAAGGAAACATTTGATTATAAGGTTTTAGTTGAAAATCTATCCTATCCTTTAAACACCCCAGTCGGAGAGATAAATGTAGGTTAAGTGGTATGTTGTTATGTAATTTTCTGACTGGTAAAATCTAATGATTTAGACTACTTTACCGGACAAGGGGGTCACTGTTGTTTCGCACCAGTGTGCATATGGCATAGAGCTAGCCATCAATACATCAACCATTAGCTGGTAAAGTAAAGTCCCACAATGAACCTTTAGTCTGAGTGGCTTGACGATCACCATTTGCATTTGGCTGAGAAGATGAGAAAATCTATCCTTGACTTATGTATCACAAGGTAGAGATATTTTAAGCATAACATTTACTTTTGATTGAAAAACCTCTTACACTCTCTTGCTTTGTACCTTAGTATAACAACTCCTCTGTAGCCAATATATTGCAATAAAACATGTTTCCCCTGCCTTGCCATTTTCTATACTGCCCTGTATTATGTTTTCCTACAAGCTAAATAGTTGAGTTTAATCCTATGACCCATTGTTAACCCAGAAAATATGATTCCTTCCCTTCCTTTTCTCCTTATTGTCTTGAATTTATCATTTTTTCCTGAATACTTTTTGTCCCTGTTTCCCACCTGTGCTGCCATTTCTTTTTAATAATATTAGTGCATTTACTTCCAGTTTACAAAATGCCACCTCCACCCGATCTCATTTAAGTTACTCCTTGGCCAAAGCAGCTGCCGTCTGATTTCCCCTAATACCGAAATGTGCCAGTACCCAAATAAATTTAATTTCACTCCCCTCCTCCACTAGGTAGAAATACAGCAGGAGTGCTTCTGTAACAGGCCCTGTTGTTGTGAGCGTGAAGACGGATTACAGTCCTGTAAAACTAGAGAAATAATGAGCAGAGGAGACGTGCCTCCGCTCGCCTGGTCAGTCTTGCCAGAATTTATTACACAGGCACCAGCAAACATCTTTGCTTCTTTTGTTACTTAGTTTACCTATAGCTGTCTGGTTTCCATCAGTTGTGTTCACCATTAATCAACGAACAAAGAAGGCAAATTTGGTTTTAAAAAAATCCATCCACTCTCCTCTGCTTATCTGTGTCAAGGTCACAAATACAACAACAAATACAAAATGGAACCCACATTATCATGCTAATGGTTTGTTATGAAGGAAGAAATCTACATCCTTACATACTGAACTTTCTAACATTTCTCATGAAATCTAGAAGAAATTAACCAAGTGCATTGAAACTAAACATTAAATGAACTGAAGCTTTGGATCGTATGGGAATGACAGTGAATACTAAAGGACAATAGTGTCTGCCATTACCCACACCTATAGTGTACTTACTCAAAGTGGAAGAGCCGACGTAGCCTAGATAAACACAGTGAAATGCACTGCACATCATAAACTCAGCCTCAATTAACATGAGATAAACGTCACAGTATTCAGTGTCTGAGTGAAGTCACTTGGGTGAGTAATGAACTGTTTCTCCCATCTAAAAGAAGCTGCACAGTCCTGAAAATAAATAAATAAATAATAAAAATCTTTGAATAGAGGAAAACAAGAGTTACTGAAGACAAAACTAAAGGAAGATAGACCCACAAACAAGCAGCAATTAAAAGAAACTGGATTAAAGGCTTGGCACGAAATAAAGCATTTTGGTGATGTCCATAGGTTCATCCAGTTATTCAAAACTATCCTTATATTTAAAATTATGTCATGTTCATTTACTTTTAAGCCCCTGGAAAAAGAGGGCAGTGTATAACAAATGGTTAGAACTTCTAAACAACAAGAGTCATGTATGGACATATTAGTTTTGCAAAATCAGGTAACTTGTTTTGCAAGTTTGACTTTGACTACAAGCCCCATAATCCACCTATTACCAGCTTTGGCGATATTCTTTAGGTTCCGTCCAATTGTTATTGAGATTCTACAATTGACACGGCAGCTAAGGCATGTCATTGGTTTCTAAGTGGTTTCCAGGAAGTGAACGCCACCGATCTAACCACCTCCCACATGTGAGCCCCCGTCGTTAGCACCACGCGCAGCGTGTAGAGGAGAGAGAAACCGGTCGGAAAGCAACGTCATTCATCGGACCACCGACTTGACGTAGCGCAGCAGACAGAGAGCGGAGCGGAGCCGCGTTGTCCGAGGCAGGTAAAGTACCATCCAGTATATGCCAATATTCATAGGGTCTAAAAAGCTGGCAGTTGGTTTCCATATTGTTTCCAGGGGAACACGAGGAAAGTAGGTCGTATTAGATAAGAACAGGGTGGACACTAGGGCCTGGTAGACTGTAGGCCTGTTTCCCCCGCGCTCTGCATTGAGCAACACATCCCGGTTTGAGTCTTTCCTTTACGGTCAGTCCAGCTGCCAGCACTGGCAAGGTGCCTTAACGGACACCGCGCCACTAGTTTGGAGAGGTACACGGTTCAGCGATAGATAAATTAATTTATCCGATAACACTGTAAACGATAGTCAGTTTGTTAACTGGCGGGTGCAGCGCAGATGTTTAGCTCTTCTTTTTCCACGTCTTTCAGGTGCTGAAGCGATCACAGCAGAAAGATGGCGGACGACCCCAGCGCGGCGGATAGGAACGTGGAGATATGGAAAATCAAGAAGCTGATCAAAAGTTTAGAAGCTGCCCGTGGGTAAGTAATACATTTTTGTCACATTTCGAGGTAATTGTCTGGTCGGCAGTACTTGAGTTTAAGGGTTCGGGTGATTGTGTCAATGTATACCGCCGCAGCAGCTGGAAATGGTATAAATGGGGCCGAATTTGGGAGTGGTTAGCTTAGCATAGCTAACTTAGCTAATCGTTGCTTTTGCTTGTCGCTAGTTAGCCAATTGCTAGGCGCTAACGGATGTCGCATTTAATCTCCCTGGAAGTTGAAAACATGGTTTATTTTGGACAAAACACATTTTTTTGTCAGTGTTTATATTTTGTAGCTGGCATTCCGAAGATTTTTATTCAGTTCAAGCTAGTAAGGTTGATGCTAGTTTTGTTGCTAATGAGAACCGCTAATAGACGTCATCTTTGGAAAGAGGCCGGCATGGGTGTCTTAAACAAAAAAAGCAGAACGTTGACGAAAAAGGGAAGGCCGGCAAGCTTGTAGTTACAGTTTCACAGTCCAAATGACGTTCGTCTGCTCTTTTTACACGCAAATCATACGACAGAGCCTCTTAATTTCCTCTAGAGTCCACTAAGTTAGTCACCTCATGGCAGCCGAACTGCTTGCCAGTTCATTACAGCGTTACTGGTTTCAAACTGGTCAGGTCAAAAAGAATTCGAGATCAGTTGTTGGCCGACTGGGACATTGTGGGCCTCTTGAATTATCAAACAAGGCATGTGAATGTGGGTGTTACTTCACTGGCTTGTAGCTTGCTCTGCGACAGTTTGACGTCTAGTGTTGCGCAGAATTTGCTGTCCTGTGCTCCCCTGCCTGCCATGTCACACACTCAGTTGACTGTTTGCCCTACATTTATCCAGCCTCTTCTACCTGGCTGTGTGCGTGTCAGCCTGTACTGCTGTGATTCATCTGTTGATTGGTTGTAAATGAAAGGACAACAATGCAAAGTAGCAAGACTTAGTCCTTGTTTCAAGGACAAAGATTGTGTACTGTGTAACTGAAAGCCCATACCATTTGTCCCTCAACCTGCCAGACCTTGTCAAGGTGATATTTTGCCAAGAAGCGTTGTGTATTTACAAAACTAAATTAGAGCAAACAATTACGCTATCTTGGAGGTAATCAACTGGTAATAAACATGGCTCAACTGGTTTGGCATAATCAAAGTTGATTATTATATGGCCTTGATATTAGATGCCAGTTTCACTATGGCATACCTAGGAGTGGCATAATTGTCAGTTATTCAGTCTATTCCATCACTTCTATGGCTTCTTGGCTGTGTACAAATGCTGTTATATGCACTAACATTACATCCTCACTTTCTCTATAGTAATGGCACCAGCATGATCTCTCTGATCATCCCTCCAAAGGACCAGATATCAAGAGTGGCCAAGATGTTGGCTGATGAGTTTGGCACTGCTTCCAACATTAAGAGTCGCGTCAACAGGCTCTCTGTTCTCGGGGCCATCACCTCTGTACAGCAAAGACTAAAACTCTACAACAAGGGTATGCATGTAAAAGAATGCCTATTTTCTTTTGGGAAATGGTAGTGGTTCTTGGGGGCAACAAAAGAAATTCATATTGGCATATCATTGTATTATTGTAATATTTTCAGCTATAATTGTTCCAAGGGGGTTTTTTGAAAAAAGAGACAACTTAAAACATAGGATGTATTTACTTTCAAAACATTCAGCTCCAGTCCTCCTTTGAATATTCATGGTCTCTGGCTTTTTTCTTCCCTTCCCAGTGCCACCCAATGGCTTGGTTGTGTATTGTGGCACAATTGTGACAGAGGAAGGCAAGGAGAAGAAAGTCAATATTGACTTTGAGCCTTTTAAACCAATCAACACCTCCCTGTACCTCTGTGACAACAAGTTCCACACCGAGGTGAGAGAATTTCCTTAGTATTTTGATGCACATGCAAAATATTTTTTTAGAGAAACTCTGTGGTATGTAAACATCGCCTTGGTCTTTTTATTATTCTTTCTGTCTTCCGCATTCTTATGATCCGTTCTTCCCTCACTAATGTCCCAACACAGGCATTGACAGCCCTGCTGTCTGATGACAGTAAGTTTGGCTTTATTGTGATCGACGGTAGTGGGGCACTCTTTGGCACACTGCAGGGCAACACCAGGGAGGTGCTGCACAAGTTCACTGTGGACCTACCCAAGAAGCACGGTACTGAACTGGAATGTTTAGAAAATACATTTTACGTTGTTTGTTTTGTTTTTGTTTATTTGTTGTTGGGTTTTTTTTAATCTTTGCTTTGCTCTTTCAGGCAGAGGAGGACAGTCTGCTCTGCGTTTTGCTCGACTGAGAATGGAGAAGAGACACAACTATGTGAGAAAAGTAGCTGAGACAGCTGTCCAGCTCTTTGTGTCCAATGACAAAGTTAATGTGGCAGGAATGGTCTTGGCTGGCTCTGCTGATTTCAAGACTGAACTCAGCCAGTCTGACATGTTTGATCCAGTAAGTATGATGTAATGAAACAACTTTTTTTTTCCACAAATTTCTCACTGCAGTGAATAGATGTCCAAAAGAAGGCTGGTGATCTTTTAAGTGTTTTCTCTGAGTTGTATAAATAGGTATATTTAATAACTATCTACTATTGTAAGAAATAAACACTGGTATTTGGTAGTAGTGATGAAATAGTGACATAGCAAGTTTATTTTAAACTTGGCACATGATGTGTGCAGCCATACTGTAAATGGAAAGTGCCTTCTTTAATTTGCCAGTAAGCCACTGATATAGCTAACTCTTATGTCTTTACAACCAATAATGGAATGTGGTTGCACAAACAAAGAAAGAGACAGATATGAAAATCTGCATATCCCACACTTCACTGCAAGCTTTGGTTAGCAGTTAATGAGTTTGAGGGATTTTCCAAGGCTTTGGGGAATATAACCAGCAGCATAGTCTATCATTATTGTCAGCATATTTATTGTGGTAGCTTTCTCTATTTTCTTTATCTTGTCAGCAACTTTGTTTGGTTCCTACTTTGTCTGTAAACGTTACTAACAACTCTTTGATTTCTACAGAGGTTACAGGCAAAGGTTCTGAAGCTAGTGGACATCTCCTATGGAGGAGAGAATGGTTTCAACCAGGCTATTGAGCTTTCAGCAGAGGTCCTGTCGAATGTGAAGTTCATCCAAGAAAAGAAGCTCATAGGTGAGTGTGTGTGTGTGTGTGTGTGTGTGTGTGTGTGTGTGTGGTTTTCTTTTTTTTGTTAAAGGTAAAATCTTCAAACTTTTTCCTGATGATTCTTCTGTATTTACAGGGCGGTACTTTGATGAGATCAGTCAGGATACAGGGAAATACTGCTTTGGTGTAGAGGATACACTGAAAGCCCTTGAAATGGGAGCTGTGGAGATTCTCATAGTCTATGAGAACTTAGACACCATGCGTTATGTTCTTCGTGTGCATGGGGCAGAGAGCAATGGAGCAGAGAATGGTAAACAAACAACTACAGTGTTATCTGCAGTAGCTGAGACAAAAAGCAGTAAATGAATTCTAATTGTGGTCCTACAATTCAAAAGTTTCTTCTTTGTTCTTCAGATGAGAAGACTTTGTACCTAACGCCAGAGCAGGAGAAAGACAAGTCTCACTTCACGGACAAGGAGGTAAGTGCTGCGGAAGAGGAACTGATCTCTGGGAGTTAAGTTGGACCCATTGCCTATGATGTTATACCTTACTAACGCTGGTTGCGTTTCTAGACGGGGCAGGAACATGAGCTGATCGAGAGCATGCCACTACTGGAGTGGTTTGCGAACAACTACAAGAAATTTGGAGCCACGTTGGAGATAGTAACAGACAAGAGTCAGGAGGGGTCCCAGTTTGTCAAGGGCTTTGGAGGCATTGGGGGTGAGCACACTGTTGTTTAATAACAGTTGAATGTTTGATCAAAATGAAGTTAGGAATATATTTGATATATGTGGTTCAGTGATGATTTCGTCATTGGGTTGTTATGATGATCTAGTAATTGTACTCGAGTATAATTCATGTATTATGCACTTGAAGATAGTAGCAGTAGAGAAGATAAACAGTTCCTCTTCTGCTTATTCTGATTCATGCTTCATCTTGGTACAGGTAAGGCCTCATATAGACATTGTTGTACAGTAGAAATTTGTATTATAGAGGGCTTCACCATGTAAAATAGGAGAATTGGGGCAGAGGCACTGTTGAATTGTTAGTTGTATAAAAAGTAGAGATACTTGTGGCAATTTAAATTGGTTTAGTGGTGTAATACATTTTAATGAGGATCCTAAAAGGATTTCAGGACTTTGTGCTTTTCACAATAGAAACACCATCATTCCAGGACCCCTAAAAGCACTGTTGTTTTTTTTTTTTTTGAAGAAGTAGTAGTTAAATTGTTAATTTTCACCTAATATTTTAAATTAGAAGTAATTTTAGACAAAGGAAGCATTTAACTATTAGGGGTTTTATTAGTTATGCAAATGATTTAGGTTATTTAATTATAGGTAATAAACAAAATATATTTTAGAATTCAGTAATAAACAAATGGTACAAAACTATAATACCCAACACATCTAAATAATTGAATTATTATAGAAGAAAACTGTTATGGACAAGTTGAAGGAATTTTGCGTAACAGGTTATGGTCGTTATGCTAAAACAAAAGCATTTATTAGGAAAAGAGCACTATTGTGAAACTATTTGAATTTGACTGACGTCACAGTTGGCTGAAATAAAACAAACACAATTTCATTAATTATTGTGAAGTTTTATCGCAATGCACCTACACCTGTCTTATCCATCATCCACACTGTTCCACCTCAGTTTGTAGCTCAGCAGGCCTTGGACTCATTCATTTTAGGTATTCTGCTTTGGACTTTGCTTTTTATTAGGCCTGAGTAGATCGCCACACTCAGGGTTCTCTGCTCAGTTCAGCAACCCGTCTGGTTCTCCACATTCCACACTTCTCCGGCTCCATATCCCATCCATGACCTGTTCAGCCTGGCAGACATTCCTCGTCTTCTATCCAACTACTGTCCCCTGTATATTTATCAATGTTATCTAGCCAGCTCTGGCTTATGGAGTCTTCATATCAAAATGAGTGTAAATGATACATGTTGCTAGGCAACTGGGCAGGGTGAGTGGATTTTACATTAATTTCTGTGGGGTCAAAGTGACATGTGGTAAGTATATCTTTTTATTCCACACACTCCTAAATGATGAGTGAATCCATTTTTAGTTAGTCATGAAATCTTTTTTGTCTTCAGAGTTTTGTTTGTTTGATAACCCTAAAATGACCCCCTTGGCACTTCTAATACTAAAGTCTAATACTTTCAGAATTCATGTTTTCCCCTGCCACTGTTTAGCCAAAACAAGTTGCCATCATATCACACTACTTAATCTCTCATCTTTTGTATTCCTCAGGTATCTTGCGGTACAGGGTGGATTTCCAGGGCATGGAGTACCAAGGAGAGGACGATGAGTTCTTTGATTTGGATGACTACTAGGTAGTCTTGGACTGATATTGGGAGAAAAAAATGAATGAAGAAATAAGGAAATGAAAATGCCACCTCTCTTGCAGCAAGCGAGAGGTGCAACTGTGTTGACCTATATATATGACAGACACACCTTCCAGTTCACCTGTTGCATACACAAACTTGCACATACTTACACAACAAAATGCATCACACAGGCCGAAGAGGAGTGAGATTTTCTTTCATCCAGAGAGGGAGAAAGCCCTTCCTGAATAAATCCCTGCCTTAGAGTGCTGGTTCCTTCCCCTAGTTGGATTGGACTTGACTCATTTTTGTTCTTTTTTTTTTTTTTTTTTTTTTTTTTTTCTTCCTCCCCTCGATTTTGAATGAACACAACAGCAAGTTCCCAGATTCCTCGTTGCCGCTGTCCCCGGTCCTAAGATGAACTTTGGATTCACTCCTGACATACAGAAAATATATTTTCCTTTAATGCATCGTCATGTCCCTATCCCCTCTCCCTTCCTTCTATGCTTTCTCTCTCTCTTTTTTTTTTTCTTTTTTGCATTTCATTTTTTTACTGGTAACTGCTGCTGTTGTATTTTATGAGAGTGGGGGATTTTTTTTACCTGGGTTTCTGTAGAGAAAGGGGGACAAAGTATTAAATTTCAACTGCTGAAAACCATTGCTACCTCCTCATCTGCTGTGGTCTCACTCCTGTGCCATCTCATTTACTTAAAAGGCTGACCTTTTCCTGACAACAAAATTGATATGTTTTGTGAGTGACGCGTGCATGACTTTTAGACAGTTTAGTCATCTTATTCAATCGTCAGACTTGCCACATAATGTTGAAATTTTCTACATTTTAAATTTCAAAAGGCGGTAAAATCACATCTTTAATACAGCTATTCATTATAAATCTTGGCCTTTACATGCAGTCATCTCTTTAAATGAACTTCCCTTAAATGAAATATCCCGTGTACACATTGGATTGCATTTGTACATTTATCTGACCACTTTTATAAATCTAAATTAATTAAAAATCTCAATTTGTCATTGCATTCCTGCCGACAGTTTTTATAGGATGTGTTGGTCTAGAAAGTTGGTTTTGACATTTGCGTGTCGAATAGGGGAGCAAAGGTGGGAGCAAAGGTAAGAGCAAATGACCAGGTTCTCATTCATAATGCAAAGAGCAGAATTCGTGAAGACGTGTTCCCTTAAGATTTGTAGAGAATGACCTTGGTAAATCATGCCTTAGATTATAAATATAGCAAGCTGAGGAAGTAAACCTACACTGGTGAATGATGAGTTTTCTGGCTCCAGTTGCTGAGAAGGCAAACAAACTGACCTGCTTATTATGGTATTAAACCAATGATGGCGTAATAGACCGGAGGGTTGGGGATGTGAGTAATTCAAACCCATACACTTCGCAGGGATTCGCAGGAAAGCAACAACAGTTCAGCTAAGGTGAAGTTATCCCAAAGATCCTGGTTTATTGCCTTGTCTGGATTGCTCGGCTTAAAAGATGAAACAAAAAATCTGGACCAGGCTTTCCTGCGTCTGTATTGATGGAGTTTCAGGTTTTAAGCTGCAATGTTAATTCATCTATTGAACTGGTTTCTGGTTGTTAGTTGTTCTTGTTACCAGTTTTGATTATCTGTCACTACTTCGTTGAATTTGTTTTACCCATGCATAATCCTGAGTTTGCTAAAGTGTGTATTTGAGAACTTTAAATTAAGCGTCATAAAGTATCTGTTTCTGTCATGCCACATATTTAAAATAGCCAACATCCTGCAGCATCTCAGAGAAAAGCTATGCGGATGATTGATTTTGCCTTGGTGTATTCCTCTTCAGGATAGCAACAGCATCTTCATCAGTTTGCCTTTTTGTTTGGGGGAGTCACCGGGGAAGCCTTGGTAGCACGGCAGGCCAATCAATAAAAGGCAAAGAGGCGAAACCACGCCCACTTAGCCAAAATCTATCCAATCGGCGTGTTATTAAAGTCCATGGGCGTTACCATCCCCCACCCACCTTTTTGACACTGCCCTACCAAAGCTGTGTGGCTGAGCGAAGTGGATGACGTCTCTGAATTTGCGGGCCGCCGACGCAGGGCTGGGTTTCCATTTTCATAGCGAGTTTCGGGGGGGATCGTCAACATGGAGCAGGAGATGGAGGACAAAACGGTGGAACTGGTGGTAAGATCTTTTTCTATACGGCATTATGAACAACCGAATTGATCGCTGTCAGTGTTTTATTGAGGAAATCGCCGAGGCTCGATTCGACGCCAGGAACGGGCTGAAGCGACTTGTCGGGAGAGGTGGAGGAAAAAGGAGGGGGAACCAGAAATCAGAGGGAGGGCCTGAAATTATCGATACATTTTGCTACGAATGCTCCGCATACTGGTTGGATTGATTAACAAGTCTTAGACATCTCTCTCTGATAAATTTAAAACCTGTGTTGGTTTGGGTACAGTTTGTACATAATGGGAAAAATTAAGAGGTTGATGTGCAATCGTCGGTCGAAGGCAGACGAGAATTCTTGGGGTAGCGTTTACTGCGGTGACGCTGCGCCACTTTAACTGGGCCCTGCCTGATTCTTAGCTAGCCGCCATGCTAACACTGACTAGAATGTCGTGAAGTACGTAAATTTACGGGCAACGCGATGTTATATCATGTAGTTTTAGGGTAAGACGACTTACTCGATAAATGATGTGTCAGTCACATTTTTATACTTTATGTGAACATAGATAAAATCATAACAATGCGTTGCTTGTGTGTTTATATTTTTTTAAAGTGCGTAGAAGGAAGTGTATTGCTTTTTCATTCACACAGCGTTACCTCCACTAGCGAGCATTAGCAATTAGCTTAATAGCAAGCTTGCTAAATACGCTGCTTGACACCAACTTCTACATTTAAAAACAAACTGCTGACTATGTCTAGAAAAACTATTTTTGTAGCCACAAACATAAATTAAGACGACGGTATTATTTTCATTTTTAGTCAATTAAATTTTGCCAAAAACTATTGGGTTTATTGTATATTGATTTTCTGCCTCGATAAACTAGCCAGCTAGGCTAACTGTAGCCTACCAGCCGCTAACATTTACTCTGTGGGGTCAAAGTGGTCGTAAGGAAGACGTCAATTAATACGAGGATCTGATTTGTTATGTCAGCGAAACTGACCTTTAAAAGAATTTCAGTTTACACGTGTTTGGAAAATCTATCGGTTTGTGCAAGAAATACAGTGGTACTGTACAAATTAAAGGTTGAAAGCCGGGCCTAGTAAATAATGTCTTATATTCCGTAGTAGATAATAAGATGTAGTCCTGTTAAATTGGAAAAAAAGTTTCGTAAAAGAGCACCTAATATGTACTTGTACTAAAGAGTCATTTGCTTAAGCATTACAGGTGTCTATAGCCGCTGTCTGCCAAATAGTGATTCCCCAGATGTTTGCATTCGTTTTTATGTCTAATATACTTGCTAAATGTAATCAATAAGATTTACGAAGGGGCTATTATAAAATAAAGAAATTATGTGTATTGTAAGTATATAACTCTACAGTATTGTACCTGCTCTTCTTTCTAAATACAGTCAAGCCAGTTCTTTTTTCCACTTAAAACATTTCTAGAGCTGGTATGTTGTTTGTTGTAATATCTGTTGCTTTCTTATCCAGATGTCTTAAAAACATGCTGTTAATCTCAATTAGACTTTTTAAAGGAGGGATAAAAATCACAAAATTGATGTCAAAAATATTTCATGAATGATAAACTATATTTTAACACGCCATTCACAACAGTTTGAGAATCCGCAATATTTTTTTTTTCCTTTGACAAATAATCACTTTTTGGTACAACATCTATGAATGACCTAAATCATTCCTCAGTAATTAAGAGCAAGTTGTCTTAAATTGGTAATCTCACCATACATCACAAAGGGGCTTAAAAGTTTATCTGGAAAAATTGGAGGTTTAAATTGCAATGTGGGTAGATAAAGTGACCTTTTTGTATGATTTGAGTAGTAATTTGGCCTTTTAGTTGAAGTAAATGGTAAAACTTAAAACTGAATTTAAGTGCTTGAACAGTGTGTCTAGTGTCTAGTGATAAAAGCTATTTATCATCTATTCAGCCCATGGTTTTCAATTCAACGCTTGGTCATAATTTTCTTGACCAAGGAAAAAAAAGCTTAACATGTGACTAAAGTCATTAAATTACACTAAAGAATAAGACAAAGTGGAGCATAAATTGTTTACCTACACAGAAAATTGAGAATTTTGTCTGGGTTGTGTTCATGTGTTTAATTTAATTTATTTATTTGTCCCAGTGTTATTCACTAACCTCTCATGAGAGTGGGGATGGCAGAACAGTGGGTGGGGCTCATGTCAAAGCGAGAGTGACATTAATTGACGATTAATACCATTGCCCCTCCCTCTCCTCTACCTATCCCCACCCAGTTCATGTCTAATAATGCTTCCGTGTGTATGTTTATCAGTCTGTATCTGTGTGTGACGGGGTGTGTGTTCCTGCGCTCACCGTGCCAATGTGTGTAGCTCTAATACTGGTTTTTCCCCCTCACTATCCCCCACCTCTCTTCCTCCTCTCTCTCCACCTTTGATGGTTACACGCTCACGTCCTCTCAATTTCAAACCAAACCGTATTTATTTATCCATTCTTTTTGTCCCGTTACACACATTTACACTTCACTTGTCCTGCTTCTCACTCCCCACCACTTCCATCTATCCATTCATTGATCCATCTATTCACTCACCCTTTTTGGTTTCCACCTCCCAACTTCCCAACATCCCCCCCCCCCCCCCCCCCCCCCCCCCCCCCCCCCCCCCCCCCCCTCCTTTACTTCCCACGTCTCTCTTGCTCTTCCCTTTCTCTTCCTCCCTCACCCTGTCCACTTCGTTCTCCTCCTCCCTTCCTCTCTCTCTTTCACACAGTGCTCTGTGCCTCGCTCTCTCTGGCTGGGCTGCTCCTCGGTGGCTGAGAGTTTGTGTGCACTCAGGTGCCTGCAGAGCATCCCCTCCACCCGGGCTCACAACCAGGTTCTGCCTCTCTCCTCTTAATTCTGCTGCTCCTCCTCCTTTCCCCTCCTCCCTTGCCATCTCCTCACCCTTTACTTTTTCTTTGCCCACCCCACACAACTCCTCATACCACCTTGGTGCACACAGCACCCACTCACCCCCTCACCCTCCTACCTCCTCACCTTCCGTTGTCCTGTCCTCCCTGTTCGAAGCACTCTGCTCTTGGGTTCTTCTTTGGTGCCTCCTCAAACACTCTGCTTAAAAGTAATTTTATTTATACAAAGTATAACATACTACTTTCAGATCTTTTGAAACAGAACAGTGAAAACGATAAAGTTGCCAGTGCTTTGTCTTGTTTAACCAAAAAAATTAAATAATCTGGATATGCCAAGTTTGAATAGTAAACTATTTCCTCAGTACTTTGGTATGGTAAGAGAAGGGATGCAAGGGTACCAGAGAATAACCATGCACTGAGGAGTATTGTTTTCTCTCCTTCTACCTGGAGGTGTGAGGGACGAGGTGGGGGTCCTCCTTCAAGCTCTGAGAGGCTACATGTTTGCTTGCTTGCCTGCCTAGCTAAACCTGATGTCTTTTTTGTGTGTGTGAATTTTATTTCTTTTTGCTTTTTCTTTTCTTCTATGCATGATCATTAACACTAGTAAGACCACCATCGCTTCTTATCCTGTCTGCTTTGGTAATTGAGAAGACCATTATGGCTTCTTATCCCATTTGACTTGGAACTTGAAAAAAATCCAAGTACAAAGTCTTGGTATTTGGATCTTTTTGTTTGTGTGGTTGTACTGATTGCAGCCACTCAGTTCTGTTGATTTTGCTCAAGCTCTTCCTGTAGCAGCATCACCAAAAGATGGTTATCTGCACTGAGCAAACTTGCAACAGCTCACACTTGAAGTAAAAAAAAAGTAAAATAAACAACAGTGTCTACATGACCGTGCAAGCAGACTTGCAACAGCTCACACTTGAAGTAAAAAAAAAGTAAAATAAACAACAGTGTCTACATGACCGTGCAAGC